ACGCCTATGGCAACCGGCCGCCTGGGTTGCGTTCATCTGGCCGTCTTGTTTCCAGGCAACACCCGAACGGTCAGGGAGCTTCGGGGAGAAGTTCCGGGGGTTAGGTGCGAGTCTTCTTAGATGCCTGATCCGACGGTCTTGGACATGCTGAACATGTCTGGCGTGACGTTCTCGGGCGTCGTGTGCGACAGCACTGGGCAGAGAGCGGAGACGAGGGGTGGGGGGTGCGACGAGGAGTTGGTGTAAACCTAAACGGGTCACTGCAGTGACGGGGGTGGCACGAAGAGTAGCACAGGAGCAAAATGGACAGGTTCTACGGTGTTCGTGGTAACCAACGACCCTATACTACCACAACAGCCCAGTCGCGACCAAGCTACGCGGCTACACCCAGCCCCTGTACGGCCAAGGCCCGAAAAAAAAAAGCTTCCCCTCACCGTCGAGGTAGATGGGGAACAAGGCGAAGCCGATGACATTCCTGATGAAGAGCGCCGGCATAGCGCTCGCGGCCAGAGAAACCTGGCCGAGCACCTGGGCGCCCATGCTGATGAGGAACACACTCCAGGCCACGACTTGGAACTTGAACATACCAGCGTCCTTGTTTCCGGTGGAGGGGCCGACTCCGGGAGTGGTGGAGCGGTACAGAATGTAGAACCCAAACAGGACCTGGTTTTGGGAGGGGCGATTCGGTCGGGAACAAAAAAAAAACGGTAAGCAAATGTTGTCGTCTATATTCCGTGCGACAGACGGGAGTCGAAAGCTGAGGCCGTTGTGTGTTGCTGCTGGGCACTACAAGGAGTGATGCCAAGTTGGCGATCGGTATGGGGAGCCTAACAAAAGATGTGGGGACGAAACATGCATGTACCTGGCAGACTCCGACAGTGATGCTGAGCTCGGGCCACAAGATGAAGAAGGGGCCGGACACCACGGGCGAAGGGAGCTGGCCCCATCCGAACATACCCTCAACGAAGGAGCCTGCGGTTGGGTTGATCGTGCACGACACGTGTGGGCACATACCGGGTGGGGTTCAAATCGCGGGAAAATAAAACGCACGGTCGGCATAGGCGCGTCTGACACGACTCAACGGCATGTTTCCTCATGCACACGATTAGTCATAAGCAGTTCTTGTGGTGTAAACCCGACGAAATGAGACGAACCGGGTCCATCGCGTGTCTACGGTACACGAAACAATGAAACCACTTGTTCGACGGCACCTACCGAGAGCGACCTGGAGGGCGCCGACCATGAGGGACAGGAACCCGTAGTACCCGAGACGGCTGCGGTAGTACGTGGCGGAGTAGGTCGACGCGCCTCCTTGGAAGAACCGGTACATCTTCCATTGAAGGAATGTCAGGGCACCTGAAGGTATCGAAGGACGAGTTCGGTTGAGGGAAGGGGGGTGGTGGATGGAGGAGAGTGGTGGGGTCAGGTTCGGCGAGAGAGACTTGATGGCGTTGAGCTAGATGCTCCTGGCTGTGTATGTTACTGCACCAAGTCTCAACACCAGCAACAGCATGTTAACATGGCGGTACATAACACACCAGAGACAGCACGGCCACTTACCGATGACCTGTAGTTTGGAAGACCGGTGACGTCGCGCAAGTGCCATGATTCCAGTAGGGACCGGTGAACAGGACAGCGAAAGAACCAGCAAAGATGGAGAGGTTACAACCAGGATCGCGAGAGGCATGCCTCCAGAGCATGAGCATTCTTGCATGAAAGACGACGTCTACATACTGGGTGGCCATTGACTCGGGTGTCTGTCTCCAATCGGTATTGAGCTGTTTCAACAGGTTAAGTGCTTTGGACCGTTCCGAATCATTGCTAGACGCAAGGGTATGGGCCAGCATGTCCGCTACACGCATACAATTTTTTTTTTTGTTGTTCACCGCATGCGTGTCTAGCGGTATTGTTGACCGCGGAGTCTCTGACGACCTTAAAAAAATATACCGCTATAAAACCTATCAAACTTACAGTGCCCGCGTAGCCCCAGAATCCGAGGATGCCCATGAGAGCGATCGAGTTAATCTGAAAACAGAAGACGGGTCAACGGACAATAATGGGGCAGCAAATTTTACACATTAGGATATTGGAATGCATACATAGGCTCAACACACCAGAGGAATCAACGATTGCTGATACTGCTACATGTACATATACGTCGATGGAAAAACAACCACGCACAAAGTGCAATGTATAAGCGTACCTCTCCCTGGCTGACGGAGATAGTCGGGTGCAAGATTTGCAGAGGCCCGGCCCCGCCCCCGACGTTCCCGTGGTCGGCTTGGAAGGCGATCAAGGCGACCGTAGTGAGGAAGGGGAACCAGGCGGCGAGGGTGATGCCAAGGCCGAAGAGGGAAGTGACCTTGCTTCCCCACCGACTCGCGACATACTGTTGTTGTCGATGCGCGGGATCGAGAAACACCATTGATCAAGACGGATGGACGGCATATTAGTCAAGAGTAGAAGTGAAAATAAAAGTTAAGGAATAATAAAAACACACAATGAAAGACTACCCATTCGAGATATACCCACAGCAGTCGAACGGGATGTGGTGAAAATAAAAGAATCCATTGCTAATCTGTCTCAGACTCTTTTCTATGATAGATATGGTTTCGTTGTGTCATATTAAGAAAAAAAAAAAAGTATTCCGAACAACGATGGGTCGTCGCACGTACGTACGATGCGTCTTTTCGGCTATCTTTTAATCGCCGCCCCAACACAAAGAAGAACGAAAAAAAAAAAAAAAGAAGAACGCTGTCCTTTCTCTCGTGCCGAAAGAGGCCACCGGGAGACAACCGTGCCCAATAGATTTCAATTTCAAGTACGAGGGAGTACTATGCATACAACAAAGAACGACAGGTGATTCCTCACGCTCCTACAACGAAGATGCGAGAGATCGCTTGAGATACACGAAACTCCAGCACGTCAATTCAACCAAGGACCAAACAACAGAAAAAGGCAGTACTCCGTAGATGCACACACGATCCACACAAACACACCCACACACCACACGCACACACACACCTGGAATCCAAGGAACATGGATACCAGACCGAACAGGGTGACCGTCAGCTGCGCGAGCAGAATCGCGATGGGCGGGAAGACCCCGTCACTGCCACTCCAGTCGACGCCCTTGGCGGAGGCAGCGGTCAGGTCTACCGTCCCGCCGATGATCACGATGATCCCGTAGGCAAGGATGAGCCCTGCAACATGCAAAATGCGCGCCAAGAACAAAAAAAAAACACGAAGACCAACCGTTTACTCCTAGTCGCTGTTTACAGCACCACACCGACGTGCATCGCGCAAGATCATGGTCGAGGGGCGTCGACGTTAAGTTAGGTGTTGGTGGAGACAAGCCGCGCAACCGGTTGTGTGCGCAAGAAGCCACGCATCGATTTGCGTGTGTGTGTGTGCTGAGTGTGTGATTCGAAATCAATGGCACAACACGACTGTGCCAGCGTCAAACTAGAAAACCGGATCCTGTCTGTGTGCTATCTAGTCTACGATGTAGCACGCGAAGGAGAAGATGTGGATGGGGCTGACGGAGCGCATGCTGCACAAACCTGAGGTCGTGGTCAAGTCATCCACGAGGTTGGCCCGAGGGGAATCCATCAAACGCGCCTCGCCGTAGCTTGTCATGATGATGTTCGCTTGTTAGAATGGAGAGGTCCGGGGAGTTGGCGTTAGTTGCTGCTGATGATCTTGGCGCGTCGAGTTGCGTGTGGCGAGAGGGCTCGATGTGGTTGTGTTATGGTGGGTGGGTTGCTGCCAGAGGACGTGTCGATGGCAAGGTGGAGTGGGGCGAAGGGAATGAAAGCACCCGCCCGGGCTTCACGGGACGTCGGTGACCCGATGCCTTTTTCAACCCGATCCACCCGGAAAAAAAAAAAAAGAACATGAGTTTTGAGTGGTTTGATCCAAAGATCCTAAAGTCCAAAGGTCAGAACAGGCCAGACATCCAAGCTTGACGGTCGACCCACAAGTACAGTTTAGGGGGTGGCACAGCTGCAAGATAATCTTGTCGTGCTCCATGCCTTCCCGGGGACAAAAACTGGTAGTTATGCCGTGTTTGCTCTCTTGCGACTCGTCTCCGTCCATTGCAAAAGAGCTGGCGGCTGGCGACCGGCATCCGGCGAGTCGGGCAAAAATGTTCCCGATCTCCCGCACGTTCCCACACCAGCTCTATTGCACTGCACCTCTGGTCAGTCTTGTTTGACTCACATTTCCTTGCCTCTTGCAAATATAAGAACATATATGTACATAGGTAAGTACCAAGTTAGCCTCCACAATAGGAGGTTATGTCAGCAGTCAGTAGTAGTGGCAGACTTGAAGGCCGTACATATATCGCTGCATCATATGCACATGCGTATGCATACATATACGCGCACAAGTCGCGGGTGAAAAATTGGAGGGCGCCGGAACGAAAAAAAAAAAACGAGGGGATGTTGTCTCAACGGCCCCGGCCCTTTCTGCACAGTGCAAAGGAAATGCCGCCGCCTTTTGTTCCGTCGGACGTCGGACGTCGGACGGTACCGTCAGTCGAGACAACAAAGAGAGCCAGAACACAGCAGTCCCTCAGAACCGCAAGTACTAAGTACTTCCGTTGAAGAAATTAAATCAGCAAGTGAGTCCTCGTCAGGTCTTCAGGGATTTGCCACGCGTGTTATTCTCACAACGTTTGGTGTGTCGGCTGTAAGGAATCAGCTCTTCTTGCTCTCCTTGCGGACTTGTTGTTTGCGTGGATTGTCTCAGTGAGCTGTGGGGGCGGTAGCGCGGAGACACTGCTGCGTCCAGCAGTCCCATGCTTACCATACGCTCAATTTGTTCGCAGTCGTTTGGTTGCATAGCGTGTGTGGTCTTAGCCCTTCCCGCAAACCTACACTGCTGTAGTACCTCGACACTGCATTCGTCCGCCCTTTGCGATCAATTTGCTCCGCGTGTCGATCGAGAGCAACAAACAACTGCTGTAACTGATGACCCTCGCGATGAAGTTGGGTACCTGTCTAGGCTTCTCTCGCTGAGAGCACACAGGCACAGATTTTTGGTGACGCATCGTAGACGCTGCTCAGAGGTGCGCATGCACGCAACCGTGCTGCTTGCTTAGCTATGCTTGCTGCTGATGTCTGATGCTGTGTGTGGTGAACACCGGCGTCCGGTTCTTTTTGAGCATGGGCGACCGGCATGGCGGTCGCCCACCCTGCTCGAGCGCACTTCAGCTCTCGGCATCGCACCCACTTCGCGTGGTAGGCGTACTGTAGTTCAACACCTGTCGCTTCTGGTGGTGCGCGTCGTGTCGCACCTGCCGTTGGCGATGTGCGTCCGCTTTTTTGTTTCTAGCAGACTCTTACAGAGTAGTTCGATGACAAGCCTGGCGGCGCAGCGGAATATACTGATTTTAGTGTACCTTTTTCCCTTCAACTGAAATGTGGAGACCACCTTCATAACGGTACAGTCTCTCCAACGTCTGTCGAGGACGATTCCCTCTTTCACAATGGCGTCGACGAAGAGATGTCAGAGTGCCTGCTTTTGTCAACAAGCGAGTTGTTCGTGAGTTCGGTCACCGAGCTCGCGGACCACCTTCGCGAGATGATTATGTTATTGAGAGGAAATATAACAGGAGGGGGTGCGCAGACCCTTTCCCTACCACTACCCCTATCCCAACTTCCCCGATTGCATGTTTTATCCAACATGTTTACTTAATCGAAAAACCCTACGAAGGCTACTGTGGAGCTCGCTCGGCATGTGCTGTAGCTCCTGCTTACACTGCTGTGCCCACTCTACCCCTTTCTTTGCTCTCATCATGTACAGTCGGCCCGCCGATAAGAAACATCAAGATCGGGTCGAGGCTCAGTTTTCTTATTTCATCATCACTACTACTGTCGAGCACAGGTTGTTATCTGGGGTGTATGGTCCACCGCTGAGCTATTAATGTTTCTTTGGCCTATTTTGTTATAATTCGTGGATCGACTAGTCTATTGTGCGGGCCCGTATGCATACTGTACCCATGGACGCACTGCTAAATGACGCAGCAGCTCTCGAGCAGGTTCGGGTTACTGCACGCCCCCATGGCTCACACCGTCCAGCACATGGAGGATAGTCGAGCCGGGAGATTTGGCATGGAGGGGTCTTTTGGAGAATAGGACGACGTCGCGAATTTTTTTCGATGCACGCACGGGTACGCACAAGCCATGCACCCACAACGTGGCAGTCCCGCCTATACAGACCTGCACGAACACCGTTTCCCACGCAAGAGCGACAGCACCTACCCACGTCAGGACCAACCTAGCACCTATCCAAGCAGTATCAACCTAGAGTTTTCCCCGTCAACACCAAGCTAGCGCCAATACTGGCACACCACCTAGAACTGAACCACCCAGCGCCAACCTAGCACCTATCGGGTGGGTTTGGGGTTAGGGTTAGGGTTAGGGTTAGGGTTAGGGTTTTTCGCCAGTTTCGTGCCCCTGCCAAAGCAGAGCATCTAGTGTTTAGAAGAACCAGAATTGCATTGAATGGGAGCCAATTGGTTGCCTGTTGAAGGAACAATCCTGCGCTCCTGTGGTAGAGCAAAATAGGGGTTCGAGCCTTGCAACACGTTTTCCCTTTTTTTCCTGCAGGCAGTGTTTTCGGTCTGTCGAGGGCATGGGTGCATGGCTTATTTACATACCCATGGGAGATTAAAATGTTTTGGGGACGTCGCCGGTGATGTACTCTAACCTCGAACGGCAACCCGTTGACTGCTGCGGTTGCGTTTCCTTGGCTCCGGCGCCACCGTGATGGTGTTTGCCGATCCTCTGTTGAGTGTGAAGGGGCGATCTTTGGTTCTGCCTTGGGGAGCAGAGCCATCCTCGGATTACTCCCGTTAGCAAGCGTGACGTGGGTGATACCGTTTCTTGTAGACGTTGCTTCACATGATCATCTTGGCACTTTGTTGCGTGATGATCGCGTTGTGGTTTCAGACACAGCGTTTTCTGGTACCTCTACGTCGCCGTGGTACTGCAATATCCGAAGCGAAACCATCGGTACAAACTAGACCACGTGTGCCGGTCGATGATACTGTTCTACAGCCTTGTTCCACTGTTGCTCATGCTCACCAAAATACAGTTGATGTTGCAAGTGCTGCAACCGAAGCTGTTCATACTGCGATCTCCGACAAAATACTTGCTGTGACAGACGCGTCAGGAGAAGCTGAAAAGCGTCCGGGCCTTTCGCTCCTACATCCAGACTCCTCGTCACTTGTTGAACGTAATCATTTGAGCCAGAACGTCGGAAGTGGTGGGTTTGTCAGGAGTGATCGCGCTCAAAATCTGCACCACTTCTTGCGATGTAACTTCTTCTAAATACGGATACATACGCAGAGTTCCGTCAACGTCGTGCCTATTGCAAAAACAACGACAAGTTAATTCAATACCATCGCAGGTGGATGATATGTACGGCCAGGAAGAGGAGGGTTCGCACGGCCGGAGGAGGGCTGTTACCGTCTGATGGCAAGACATGGCGAGATGGCGGCCCGGATGGCGAACCAGATGACAGAAAACGTGGATGAGGCCCGCCGTGGGGACGAGATGTCGCCATCGGCCAGGCGAGTAATGTGTCGTATCCTCTGCCTTCCTCTCTGTAGTCTAGACTATGCCCCCTACGCACAGCTCACACAAGTTAACATCCTTGTATGTAGTCGAAAGGTTACACTCCGTATGCCCTAGTGGTAATTTTTTTTCATGTGAATGATCCTACCCCAAATATGGTTCATGCTGAGCAAACCAACGCATGTGTTATGATTGTGCTCTCCATCACCTTGGCTGGCTCAGGCAGCGCTCTGTCCGGTAGTCTGTCAAGAATTTTGTTTCACGAAAACCCCCTTGGGTTAGCGCTTTTCGGTATGGAACATCCATCCCATGGCCTCCATTCTCCGCTTCAAACGCCCTGCACAGCACAGCAAGCTCCCAGACGGAAAGCAACTGGTGTTCCGCATAGCGACCGACGAAAGATCCGTGGGTGCTGCCACAGCTGTAGTTGGCTGGTCGGTGATATGTGTTGCGGACACGTCGTACACCCACCATGAGGAGCGGCTGGTTCAGGTGGGAACAATACCGGGGAACGTGGAAGGCGCGCGCGGGGGGCGCGCGCTAGTATTTCGTGCTCACTGAGGTTGGCGCAATGAGGACGGGGGGTGGGACCACGAGTAGGGGGCGCCTCGAGTATTTCACAGACCAATCTTGGAGGACACAAAAACCTATCTCGTGGGTACACCGTGCAGCACCTTGATGTCTGTTATACCTAGGTTGATGGTGCCGCCCGTAGCAGTTACCGCGCCTGCGCCGAGACCTCGAGCAGCGCCATATTGTCAGGATTGCAGTCCCACGGGATTTTCGCGTCTGTTACACACGGCACTCATCACACCAGAAGTACACGTGTTGACGAAAGAAGGTTCCCGAAGAACTTTCATCGTTCCCCACTTTCCCGGTTTGTAAAAAGAATACTCTGCACATGCATTTGCGCGTTGTGGTCCACGTCCCCTCAATAGTTGAACCTCTGTCGCGCTGTATTTTTTCTCGCGGCAAGTGCGGGGATACATGTTTGGTCTTTATCGAGCTACGAGGAGATTGTAGCAGCACGGGTTTTGAAGGGAAGACAATTGCGTCCCTGTCCTATGTACCCTTGTTGTACCGTATAGTATGTGTTCAATCCGGCACCAAGTTACCCCTCTCAGTTTGAATTATCAGGCGGGATCACACAGGAGGAGGTCACTGCAGGAAGCTATACACCGTTGGTTGTTTTTCGACTAGCTAT